CAAAAAAATTTAAGTTTATTTTTAAAAAATATTTTCAGTTTCAATTCAAAAATTATTTTCTACTCTCTAGTAAAAATAAAAGATATTTTCTCAAAAATATTTTTCATTCATAAATCAAACACACAAAAATCTTTTTCGAAAAATATTTTCTACTCTCCAACCAAACATGAGAAAATAAGTCCAAAGTCTACTTGTTTTCCAAGAAAACATTTTCCTTCATACCAAACACACCCTAAATCGCAAAATTAATGGCTATATTAGACCCTTTTTTCCTTGTATATATGTATGATTTCAGACTCACTGTTGTGTTCATTGCAACCTAGCTCAGTTTATAGACTATTACATTACTGATGGCGTGATCAAAGGTAAATTCAGGATTACTTTTTAAGATTACTAATTAACAATAAATACATTATATTTTAAAAGTTATAAATTCATGTTCACTATTTATTACAATTTTAGTAAATTTTTCCACATAAATTTTGTACTCACCATATTTTGACTTGGTTCTAGACTATATAATATATATACATATGTTTTTCTATTTCTTTCTTAATAATGCAAGTAATTGACTGATCATATTATATAAATATACTTTCTTTCTTGTGTCAATCAATTCACCAGTCTTTTTTGTGCTTTTCACCTTTATTAATCTGTTCAAAAAAGTTAACAACCAATTTACTTTTATCTAAAAGCAAAATTACACAAATAATTTATAATTTATTTCTACTAATTAATGATGACCTTGTCTTTTCTTGAAACATACTGTTTTAACCTCTCATAGTCGAAGAGTTGTTGTATAGGTGGGTAATGAAGAATTTTGTAGTGCCTTTAAGGCTTTTTCATTATCTATAAATATAACAATGAGCTTTTTAAATACCACACATACAAACATTCTATTTCCAATGGAGAAGCACATTTTCTTACTGATTCTTCTACTTGTAATTCAATATTACTCTGTTGCTTCCTCAAATGAGACTGACCAACAAGCTCTACTAGCTTTCAAAAATCTTATTACAAGTCCTAATCATTTTTTGGCCAATAATTGGACCAAAAATACTTCTTTTTGCTCTTGGTTAGGTGTCACTTGTAGTTCAAAAAGGCAAAGGGTTGTGGCCTTGGCTCTTCCTAATTTGCAACTTCAAAGCACAATTTCCCCGTCTTTGGCCAATCTGTCCTTCCTCAGTGTTCTCAATCTCGAGAACAACAGCTTCCGCGGTGGCATCCCTTATGGACTTGGCCACTTGCTTCCACGGTGGCATCCCTTATGACATTGGCCACATGCCTCGCTTGCGAGTGATTGATGTTAAAAACAATCAGCTCAACGGAAGTATACCAACAAGTCTATTTCAAAACCGGAGAGTTCAAGTAATTTCATTGGCTTTCAATGAACTCAGTGGTGAAATGTGGAGAGGGCCATGGTATGTACCACCCCAATTCAGAGTCTTGGATCTCGCCAACAACAGCCTCACGGGTATGATCCCTCCTTCTGTTGGAAATGCCACAAAAATGATGAACTTCAGTTTGTCTGGGAATAGATTCAGCGGCAACATTCCTAAGGAGGTCGGTAATCTGAGCCAACGCAGATTTGTACTTGACTGATAATCAATTAACAGGTTCCATTCCAGCAGCACTGTTTAATATCTCGTCACTACTTTCCATACATCTGCGATTCAATAGACTTTCTGGTCCTCTCTTGCTAGATGAAGGGAATATTGTGTCAAATCTGAAGTTTTTAAGTATATCTAACAACCAAATTTCTGGCTGCATTCCTTCCAACGTATGCCAACTCACAAAACTCAAATGGTTGTCTTTATCTTTCAACAACATAACTGGAGACATACCCAAAAATATTGATTGTTTATCTAAGCTCGAGGGGTTCTATATTGGCGATAATCCAATAAAAGGGACTATTCCCACTTCATTGGGAAATATTTCCACTCTGCAATATCTTTATTGTGGAAACAATCGCATAGTGGGGCAAATTCCTCCGCAATTAGGGAAGCTATCAAATTTGAGGCAATTAAACTTTGGCCAGAATTTTAATCTTATTGGTCAAATTCCAGAGGCTATTTTCAACATATCTTCTTTCGAAACGATTGATTTCAGTTTCAATAACCTCTCGGGGAGAATTCCAACCACTGCAGGTCTTCATCTTCCGAACCTTAAAGTACTTAACTTGGGAGACAATCAGCTGGAAGGGGAAATTCCATTGTTCATAACAAATGCTTCCAAGCTTGAGAAACTGGGGCTAAATAATAACTATCTGACAGGAACTATTCCTACTAATTTGGGAAATCTTCATGAGCTGCGATATCTGTTCCTAGAATCTAATCAACTTACCAATGAACCAAGAGAGCATGAGTTGCGATTCTTCAATTCTTTGGCGGATTGCCGAATGTTGCGATATCTACAAGTGGGTAACAATCCGTTGAATGGCACTCTGCCCAATTCAATTGGGAATCTTTCATCTACTATTGAAAACTTTCATATAGCAGATGCACACATCAATGGCCTCATCCCCACAGGTATAAGCAATATGAGCGGTCTATTGACCCTAGACTTTCATGGAAACAACTTGATTGGGAATATTCCTTCTGATGTTGGTAAGCTTAAACAACTCCAGGGGCTGTATCTAACTAACAATAAATTGCAGGGACATGTTCCAGAGGCGGTATGCCATTTATCTAATTTGGTTAAATTATTTCTGAATGGTAATGAGCTCTCTGGATTAATTCCAGAATGCTTAGGAAATCTTAGCATGCTACAAAAACTTTATTTGAGTTATAATAAATTTTCATCAAAATTTCCGTTGAGTCTTTGGAAGCTGAGTGATCTTCTCTATCTCAGTGTGTCACGAAATTCTATAGAGGGAGAAGTTTCATCAGATATTGGAGAACTGAAAGCCATTGTAGGACTATATCTTTACAGTAACCACTTTTCAGGAATGATACCAACCAGATTCGGGGAACTCCAAAACCTGCAGTATCTTGACCTATCAAACAACTCATTTTTTGGCCAAATTCCATTATCCTTTGCCAACTTGATAAGCTTAGAATACTTGGATTTGTCTTTAAATGTATTGTCAAGTACTATTCCTAAGTCTTTGGAAAAACTCTACTACCTTAAAAGCATTAATGTTTCATTTAATGATTTAGAAGGTGAAATACCGAGTGGTGGCGTGTTTGCAAATTCCACTCTGCAATCATTTCTCGGGAACAAAGGTCTATGTGGAATGCACATATTGGAGATTCCTGCTTGCGCTATCAATAATCCTGGAAAACAATCAAAGCTAAAGGAGGTTCTGCTAAAAATTGTTACTCCGGTGGTTATATCATCCTTTCTGATATTCTTGTTGGTTTCAATTTTGATATTGATACGACAGAACAAAGGAAAGTCCAAAGATGTTGAAAAGGTACTGGAGATCGGGACTCATCAATTAGTTTCTTATCATGAGATTCAACGAGCAACAAATAATTTTGATGAATCCAATTTAATTGGTGAGGGCAGCTCTGGCTCTGTGTACAAAGGCACATTGTTTGGGGGAACTGCAGTGGCCATTAAGGTTCTGGATTTGGAAAATGAGCAAGTATGCAAAAAGTTTGATACCGAATGCAAAGTGATGAGAAATGTTAGACACAGAAATCTTGTTTCAGTGATTACTACTTGTTCTAGTGACTATATAAGAGCCTTTGTTCTGCAATTTATGTCCAACGGAAGTCTTGAGAATTGGTTGTACAGAGAAGATCTCCACTTAAACCTTCATCAAAGAGTCACTGTAATGCTTGATGCAGCTATGGCAGTTGAATATCTACATCATGGTCATGTCACTCCAATAGTTCATTGCGACCTAAAGCCAGCCAACATTCTTTTGGATGAAGATATGGTGGCTCATGTTGGTGATTTTGGAATCTCTAAAATTTTAGCCATAAGCAAGTCCATGGCTTATACCGAGACATTGGGCACTCTTGGATACATTGCACCAGGTATAAAAAATCTATTCTCTTTGATTTTCTCTTATCATAATTAAGCCTCTCCAAATTCTAGAAGTAAAAAAAGCAGGTCTTTATTTATGCATAACTATTGTTGTATTTCAATTGAGTAACTTTTCTTCAATCCTTTTCTAAGAATATGGCTCGGAGGGAATAGTGTCTGCTAGTGGTGATGTTTATAGCTACGGCATCATGTTGATGGAGGTTTTGACCAAAAGAAGGCCAAGAGATGAAGATATATGCAATGAAAATCTTGACTTGAGGAAATGGATAGCACAATCATTTTCAAGGAGTATGATGGACGTTGTGGATGCCAATCTTTTTTCTGAGGAAGAACAAATCACTTCTAAAAGTGAAATCTGCATAGCTACCATGATAGAATTGGCTTTAGACTGCACAAAGGAAATGCCAGAATCAAGAATAACCATGAAAGAAGTAGTGAAGAGGCTTAACAAAATCAACAACAAATTTCTGGAAACATAGAAGTGATCTGCATCTCTTCTGATGATGTTCTTTTCTGAGCTGCACGTTAATATGATGCTTTTTGCTTACCTGGTTTCTTTAGTCGATTGTACTACCTGGAGACATGTAGTACTGTTTGTACTTCAGAGTGTTGCATTTCCCTTATTTTGTGATTTCATATTTGAGTAGTCTCTAATATGTTTTGAATGCTTGAATAAAATTAAGAAATATCACTGCACTATTTTACTTTCTGCTTCTGTTTCCCTCTACTTCATATTTTTGATTCATTAGTTTCTTTCGATTGATATATTCAACTATTCAATAAATGGAATTCTTAGTTGGACTTGGTGAGTTTTGGAGGTGAATGATAGACCAGATACTAATAATCCAATTGTTTTAACACCGTAAATGCATATAATTTAAACTCAAACTTAAATTTGATCTCCCTGTTTTTCAGTATCAGTCAAAAGTTTCTTTATATATTGACAATTTACTTTACATACACTTGCAAGTAAATCTTCTTGAATGGTTTTCTAGAAGAGGAGATTTATGTAGCTCAACCTGAATGTTTTGTGGTTCAAGGAAGTGAAGGCAGGGTGTATAAGCTTCAAAAAGTTTTATATGTGATTGATGCTGGCTCCAAGAGTTGTTTCGGATGAAGTATTTTTTGGGGCTGGAAGAACATCAATCAGCCGAAGTCTAGGAGATCCTGAAACAATTCAGAATGCAAGTTGCAAAACAGTTCCTACACTACTGGGTTTGAATACAAAATTTGTAAGGAAGATAGAGCCGAAAACTATGATGCTTCGTATTATAGAAGTTTGATTGGAAGTCTCTTGTACTTGACGGCTTCAAGACCTGATTTAATAACGCTAGCAGCTAGTTTACTCTCAAGATTTATGCAAAATCCAGAGGACATTCATTTTGCAGCTTCCAAAAGAGTGCTTAGGTACTTAAAAGGTACTGTACAACTTGGAAATATGGCTTTGTTGATAGTGATTGGGTCGGAAATATAGACGATATCAAGAGAATTACTATCTATTCTTTTCTTAGAATTCAAAGAAGCAAGAATACTGGTGCAATCTACTACAGAGCCAGAGTATGTAGCAAAACCTCGTTTTCCATTATTTTACCATCAGTTTTCCTTTGGAAAGGTGAGTGTGAGGCTTCTGCTGTATTGCTGATTTCAATTGCAACAAATATAAAACTTTGATTGCTAGAAATGTCTGGTTTTCTATTTTTCTATAGGAGGTTACGCAGGATCTTTCATAAACAGTATCACATATATATAAGCAAGCAACAAAAATCTTTAAACAGTCGGGCATGAAGAACACTTTGTATAGCAGGATCATTTCTTTTGAAGATATAAGTATCGAATACATTAGTAATACCGAAACTATTAGTAAATATCCCCGAGGGAGCAGTGTCGCGTGACAGCCTTTACTCAACGTGCATCCGCTCGTGTTTTCATACTTTTCTTGCCACCGAATGCTCTGTTAGTTTAACATGAAGATCAAACCTGAGGGCAAAATGTTCATTGTATATAGGGAAAAGGGCCTTAGATCCCTCAACATTGTGATGTAGAGCAGATACACCATTCATTATAAAAGTGGCTCACAATATCTATCACATCCCTTATTTTTCCTCAAAATTTAATGATATTTTGAAAGAAAGAGTTTTTCCAATTAAAGTGATATTTTGAAAAGAGATTATTTTATTATTCAGATTCGCAACTTGAAATTGAGTTTTGGTGTTCCAAGTCACCTTATTTAAATCCCTAATCAAAAGGAAATTTGACTCTTTATTTTATTGATCTGTTAACCAGAAATTCAGCTAAGGGATCCTGTTGACTGAGGGGAAGGTGTTAGGCACCCCTCGAGTCCCGTGGTTCTAATACGGTCGCTTTATTGACTATATATGACTTAAATTAATTTTTGGATATTATATTATTAGCTTAATAATAAAAATGTTATTTACCCTCATTCTCTGATTTATTTTAAACCTATTTAAAACTGTCTTATTTATTTTAATTCTATTTAAAATTGTCTTATTTTTTCGGTGTGTGTCCATTAATTTGAAACTTGAAACATCCGTATTTTCTTTTTCCTTTTTTTTTTTTTACTTTTTTTTATTGTATTTGTATTTTTTTTATTTTAACGTTCTGTTGCTCTTTTTTTTTTTAAATTTATTTTTTAATCATTTTTTATATGTTTTTTAACATTCTGTTTCTTTATTTTTCCTTCTTACTTTTTGGTTTAATTTTTTTTTCTATTACGCCTTATTTTCTCTTCTTTTTTAATCATTTTTTATTATTATTCTTTTCTGTTCACGTTTATTCTTTTTTTTTCTTCTTATGCTTTCTCGCCTTTTTTTGAAATTAGTTTTCCTAATTATTCATTATTTATTTTTTTACCATAAATCTCTAAATAATATTCATATATCCTCTTAATTATATATTTTAATAATTCGAATTAAGGCAATAATCATCTTAACATTTATTCTAAAGGCAAATTATTTTTATCAAAATAATATATTAAAAAAAGGACTCAAACACATTCCACATAGGTTTTCTAAATCACTAATCAATTAAACTTCAGTTTATATCCTAATCTAACAAGTCTACAAATAATTTCAATAAAATTTTCTTAAATGAAAACTAAGCTCCAAGAAACATTAACTATTCAAAATTAAATATCACGAAATTAATTTCAATATTAATTGCATCCAAAGAGCATAAGACAATAAAAAAAAAAATGTATGATACATCTTTTATTTTTTATTTTTTTTAGCAAGAAACGTCTTCTGTTCCGTTTTTCTAAGCATTCGTAAATTCTCAAAAATAATCACAACATGCATAACAGATTGATATTATATAAGAATAACATGCGATTCAAAGAACTTCATATTATTGGAATCGAGTTTTCGTACAAGTATTCTATTCAAATCATGTGAGAATTTAGAGTTACCTCTGTACGAAAATTGATACCACAAAACAACTACTACGATCTACTGATTTCCAAAGTTGCTAATATTAACTTTAAAGAGCCACGAATCCGAAACCTTGAGTGAAACCTCGAACGCTGACTTAATTCTCAAAATAAAAAAAATCACTTTCGTTATCTTTTTCTCTCTATGTATTTTTGTCTCTTTTTCTCTTTACTAAGATTGTGTTTTTATAATAGTTTTGGGTGTGAGTCTGGTGCTAATTAAAAGGAACGTGATGGAGTGGGAATGATTTTATTTAAAATTTAGTTGAGAATTTTAGGGTTGAGATAAAGGAAGAAAAAATAAAATAAATGAATAAGTAATACTAATAAAACAAACAAAAAGAAAAGTATAAAACGTGTGGGGAAAGAAGGAAGAATTTTTTTTAAAAAAAAATCGTGCAAAGAGTAAAAAAAAATTAATGGGGGAGGATTTTTAGGAAAAAATAGTTATGGAAGTTTGAAGGTAATTGGATAAAGGGTAAGGTAATTTGAAATTTTTAGGACTCTTCTTTTTGTTCTTTTTTTTTTTTTTAATCTACTTTTTTCATAATATATACGATTATTATTATTTTTTAGACTAGATAAAAGTTGAAGAATTAAAACAAATACATTAAATTCACAAACTTTCTTTATTAAACTTTAAACATAAATGAGCTTATAATTTGTTGTAATTTCAGATTTATCTTTTCATTTATTTTTAATATAACCCTACTGAAATAATAATATTTACGTATTAAAAATGGTGTAAAACCTTTAAATTTTGGTAAAAAATTAGGTGTTCACAATATCATTACGAAAGTGGCTCACAAATTCAGAATTAATTCTTGAGACTCCTATTCAACATTAAATACATATATTTTTAAAGTTATAAATTCATGTTCACTATTTATTACAATTTAAATTTTTCAGCAAGTAATTGACTGATCATATTATATAAATATACTTTCTTTCTTTCTTTGTCAATCAATTCACCTGTCTTGTTGTGCATTTTCCTTTATAAAGTTGGCCAATGTATTCCTCAATGTGATGATATAAGAGGTTGTGGAAATCACAACCATTCACCTTTATTAGTCTGTTCAAAAAAGTTTAACAACCAATTTACTTTTGTTTAAACCAAAATTTTAAGTACACTTAAATAATTTATAATTTATTTCTACTAATTAATGATAACTTTTTCTTTTCTTGAAACATACATGTTTTAACCAAAATTTTAAGTACACTTAAATAATTTATAATTTAATTGTTCATTTTCTTGAAGAGTTGTTGTAGCTTGTATAGGTGGGTAATGAAGAATTTTGTAATGCCTTTAAGCTTTTTTATTACCTATCATTATTGTATTATTTGAATTAGCTAAATATAGATATATTCTCCACAATACAAATGAACAATTAATAATTTGATAATTACGTGATATAAACATGAGGAGACTAATTTATTTGAGTTAGCAAGTGTGCAATTAATATTATTTCGGTGAATGATTTTAGATGTTGTTTTTTGGCATATAATAATAAATCATGTTGTTTGTGAGAGTACATATATCTTCACAATTTGAAAATATTTGTGGAGACCTTCATTGTTATGCTGAAGTCTTTTTCAATCAAGTACTTGGAATGTTGAATTGGTTGAGAAGATCGTTGATGAAATTTTCATTTTCCGGCTTGAAGAATAAGTTGATTAAGTGGTGTTTAGGCTTATTATTTCTCGTTTTACATCCTAGAAATTAAAATAAGAAAAGTTGGTAGATTTGATGAAGAATATTGAATGCTTACATCTCATATATCTCTCATGGAACTCTGTTTGAGACCATATATATCATTGCATTGTAGTCAACATTTTTTTTTCTCCATTTCAATAGTGATATTAATTAGTGGTATCTTTGATTTAGTTAAAGGCATCAACAAGTGTTCTTCCTCCTTCATCTAACAACCTTCATTTACCATGCATAAGTTGTTTATGGCAATAAACGCTTGATTTGATGAGTATTATGAACAACATTTAGAAGAAAGATGGATTATCATAGTCGAACGTAGAAAATGAGGTGCTTAAACTTTAATTTACTTAAGAGTTTAGAAAGACTATTTTCTTCTCTTTCTATTATGAGTTACCCGACTTTTATTCTGTTTTGTGAAAAATGGACAGATTCTTTTTCTTATTTTCCTCCTTTTAATCTGTTTTCACATTGATTTTTTGCTACTTATTTTCCTCCTCCATATGAATCTGTTTTCACATTTTGGAAATTAGAGTCTACCCTTTTCAACATTTTATTTTTTTGGTGCTATAAATATAACAATGAGCTTTTTAAATACCACACATACAAACATTCTATTTCCAATGGAGAGGCACATTTTCTTACTGATTCTTCTACTTGTAATTCAATATTACTCTGTTGCTTCCTCAAATGAGACTGGCCAACAAGCTCTACTAGCTTTCAAAAATCTTATTAAAAGTCCTAATCATTTTTTGGCCAATAATTGGACCAAAAATACTTCTTTTTGCTCTTGGTTTGGTGTCACTTGTAGTTCAAAAGGCAAAGGGTTGTGGCCTTGGCTCTTCCTAATTTGCAACTTCAAAGCACAATTTCCCCGTCTTTGGCCAATCTGCCTTCCTCAGTGTTCTCAATCTCCAGAACAACAGCTTCCGCGGTGGCATCCCTTATGGACTTGGTCACTTGCCTCGCTTGCGAGTGATTGATATTCAAAACAATCAGCTCAACGGAAGTATACCAGCAAGTCTATTTCAACACCGGAGAGTTCAAGTAATTTCATTAGCTTTCAATGAACTCGGTGGTGAAATGTGGAAAGGGCCATGGTATGGACCCCAATTCAGAGTCTTGGATCTCACCAACAACAGCCTCACGGGTATGATCCCTCCTCCTGTTGGAAATGCCACAAAAATGATGAACTTCAGTTTGTCTGGGAATAGAGTCAGTGGCAACATTCCAAAGGAGATCAGTACTCTGAGCCAACTTGCAGACTTGTACTTGACTGATAATCAATTAACAGGTTCCATTCCAGCAGCACCGTTTAATATCTCGTCACTACTTTCCATACATCTGCGATACAATAGACTTTCTGGTCCTCTCTGGATAGATGAAGGGAATATTGTGTCAAATCTGAAGTTTTTAAGTATATCTAACAACCAAATTTCTGGTTCCATTCCTTCCAACATATGCCAACTCACAGAGCTCAAATGGTTGTCTTTATCTTTCAACAACATAACCGGAGACATACCCAGAAATATTGATTGTTTATCTAAGCTTGAGGGGTTCTATATTGGCGATAATCCAATAAAAGGGACTATTCTCACTTCATTGGGAAATATTTCCACTCTGCAATATCTTTATTGTGGAAACAATCGCATAGTGGGGTAAATTCCTCCGCAATTAGGGAAGCTATCAAATTTGAGGCAATTAAGCTTTGACCATAATTTTAATCTTATTGGTTGAATTCCAGAGGCTATTTTCAACATATCTTCTTTCGAAAGGATTGATTTCAGTTTCAATAACCTCTCGGGGAGAATTCCAACCACTACAGGTCTTCATCTTCCGAACCTTAAAGGACTTACCTTGGGATTCAATCAGCTCGAAGGAGAAATTCCATTGTTCATAACAAATGCTTCCAAGCTTGAGATACTGGAGCTAAATAATAACTCTCTGACAGGAACTATTCCTACTAATTTGGGAAATCTTCATGAGCTGTGTTATCTGATCCTACATGATAATCAACTTACCAATGAACCAAGAGAACATGAGTTGCGATTCTTCAATTCTTTGGCGGACTATAGAATGTTGCGATATCTACAAGTGGGTAACAATCCGTTGAATGGCACTCTGCCCAATTCAATTGGGAATCTTTCATCTACTATTGAAAACTTTAATATAGTAGATGCACACATCAATGGACTGAGCGGTCTTACAGTCCTAAGCCTTGGAGGAAACAACTTGATGGGCAATATTCCTCCTGAGATTGGTAAGCTTAAACAACTCCAAGGTCTGTATCTACATTACAATAAATTGCACGTACATATTTCTGAGGCAGTATGCAATTTATCTAATTTGGTTCAATTATATCTGGAACATAATGAGCTCATTGGAGTGATCCCAGAATGTATAGTGAAGGTCAAGAGGGGGTGAATTAAAATTTCCTTTAGTCCACTTCCTGTAATGGTCAGTCGACTCACCTGCATGTTAGAAGAATAAATAAACAATAATAATAACTTGCAGTAAGTAAATAACACAGAGTGTTTTTATACTGGTTCGGATCACCGATGTGGTGCCTAGTCCAGTCCCCTTGGGTTACAAGGGTTTCCTTAGGAGCTTGTTGAGAACTTGGGTGTTACATAATGTTACAATTAAGATCCCCGTCTAATATGCAAATCAGATCTTCTTCTTCGACACAACCTCTACATGTATAACCTACACTCAGATCTTTCTTTCTCTTTTCTTTTCAATTGTTCACTCAAGTGTGTACAAAGTTTTATGAAAGATAAAAGAAGATTACAATATAAGTACAAGTGAAGTGCGTACTTCACAACTAAGGCTAGGAGAGGATTATATAGTGTTTGAGGACTGCTCTTGTTAAGGAATAACCCAAGGGTATTTCAAATCAAGGATCTTAGCTGAGTCCTTGATTTCAGCTAGTTGATTCATGTCCATATGAGCTAGCCGATTCCTTCCTTCTTTGGAGATGTTCTGGTGATCTTGATTCTCTTCCTTCTCTTGAAGATATTTATGTGATCTTGATACTTTGCTGATTTTCCTTCTTTAGCGATCTTCTTATAATCTTGATTTTGTTCCTTCTCTTGAAGATATTTGTGTGATCTTGATACTTTGCTGATTTTCCTTTTTTGGAGATCTTCTTGTAATCTTGATTCTCTTCCTTCTCTTGAAGATATTTGTGTGATCTTAATATTCTTCCTACTTTTGAGGATCTTCTTGTAGTCTTGATACTTGGCTGATTTGAGTGTCTATCTTCTAGATTACTTCATCCTAGTCAAACCAGGGGCGGCTCTACAGCTTTGCAAAAAAAGTAATTGCCTTATGCCCCAAAATTTAAGGGGCCTCATTTAAAAAAAAAAGGTTATAATTATTATTTTAAAAAATATCGAGTATTATTTGTAGAAAATAAAAACTTTTTTATAAAAGAGCAAAGAAGTAATAAAAATTTGACAAATTATGAATACTATGTCTCAAGAAAGATCAAATAATTGACTATAATAAACTTCATAAAAAATATATATTCAAATTTAAGGTCTCCATTCGGATTTGGCTTTAGGTCACCAATTTATTAGAGCCGTCCCTGAGTCAGACGCTAGGATTGTGATTGCTTCAATTCCGTATCCCTTGAATGATGGAGGCGTTGCTTCAGTGAGGGCATCTTGTTTCTTTCCTTCTTTGGCGTTCTTCCTTTTTGATTCCCATGCTTGATTTAATATAAATCTTCTTTGATTGAGTTCTAGCAATGGAAGATCTTCTTTGAAAGGCATGGTTATCTTACAAGATTTATGTAACATCCGGCGATTTGAAATAACTATGAAGAGGCCTAGAATTGGAAATTTTTCTTTTGGAAAGAATTTTAAAAATCTGGAAATTTGGCTATGTATGGAAAAAGGTGAGTTTTTGGCCAACTTTGAACAGTCATAACTTCTAGCTCATGATGAGTTCCAGTTATGGTTGCGAAGTTCGTAGAATGATATTTCCAACGTCACCGAGTTTGCTCAATTCCGAGTTCGTATGAGTGAGTTATGCCCTTTGGAAGTTGGGCAGTTGGCAAGGAAATCCGTCCGGGAATTTTAAGGGCATTTTGGTCTTTTCCCTAAACAATTCCTTTGGTTATATTTTAGTGTTGGACTGATTTTAGATCAGTTTGTCCCATTTTTAAAAGAGTGAGAGTTAGGGTTTTGAGTGAAGAAGAGAAGAAGAGGAGAAGAAGAGGAGAAAAAGGAGATCAAGCAAGTTTCCATCATGGATATCGTCGGGGGTGATCCCTACTAGGTATGTGAGTTCATAGTGTTGGGTTGATCTTTTCCCCCACACACCACACTCCTTTTATTTTCAAGAAAAGATTGCTTGTGTTGTTGAATTCTTGTTGTTGTTCTTGTTGAAGTTTGTGGTTGTGTTGGTTGAAGTTTGTGGTTGTGTTGTTGAAGTTTCTTGTTGGTTTGGTGCATGTTTCCGGATGGAATTATGAGTTGAATCTAGTGTATATTGAGGGTTTTTAATGATTCTAAGTGATTGGGGAAGAAACCATTCGATTTTAGGCGAAATAGGGTGAGAAAACGAGAAAATGAACTTGCTGAAATTTCTGGGTTGGAGACCCTGGCGCGATGCGCCTGCCAGAGCGCCCCAAACTCATCTCTGAAGTTTTAGGGCTGGCGCTTTGCGCCTTGCAGAGCGCCAAGACTTCTCTTTTATCCCCCACTTTCTTATGCATGTTCCTAGGTATTGTACCTATGTTTCCTAGTTATTTCCAACACTCCAAGGTGCTTCTAAAAGTCAAGAACTCATCCGTAACATATGATCAAACACCTTGAATTCATAATCCAATTCAAGGAGAGTTAGTTTCCAAGTCAAGTGAAGTTAGAAGTCAAATGAAGTTAAGAGTTAAGTTCAAGAGTTAAGAAGCAAGTCAAGCAAATCTTCAAAGTTGTTCAAGAGTCTTTATTGAATATTTTAACTTCATTTTAAGACTCAAGTTTCAAGTCAAGCAAAAGCTTAGAGTTTCAAGTCAAGCAAAGAGCTTAGAGTTTCAAGTCAAGAAAAGGGTATAGAGTTTCAAGTCAAGTAAAGAGTTTAGAGTTTCAAGTTAAGTAAAGAGTTTCAAGTTTCAAGTTAAGTCAAAAGTTTAAAGTTGAGTTCATTTCTCAAAAGTTATTAGGGAACTATGTATTCCCAAAGAAGTTTCTAAATGTTTTTACATTTGAGTAAGAAAGGGACTATGATTTCCAAAAGAGCCTTTGGGTTAGTTCTCAAGAAAAAGGAACATCGATTCCAAGTGAGCCTTTGGGCTAGATTTTGAGTAATTATCTCAAACTAAAGAAAGTTGTGTTTAAAACACTTATGAGCTAAAGTATTTTGGGGAGTAGTATCGAGCACCGAATTGGGGACGCAAGTTCATATTAACTCAACTCTCTATAAGAACCATGTGGCCAACATGGGAGTTAACGGGTCATACTTTTTAGATGAATCAGTAAAGTTAAGCTAGTGGATCCACTTAGTAAAGTTAGCTTCCTATATCACGGCAAGGTATAGGATGGTCCTCGGGCAACGTGAGGTAAAACGTTGTATCACCACTTAGTTTCATAGTGGTGGTTTGTCGGTTAAAGAACTCCCATAGTAGAAATTGCGTGGTTCCTCAAGGGGTTCTGCTTTAGTGTGGATAGGGGTATGGGACTTCATTCATGCATTGCACAAGTAGACCTTGAGAGGAAGCATGGTATTTTCATGATATTATAAATATGATTTTTACGTCATGTTTTAAATAGTTTTACAAAGCTTTATATATATTGCATGTGTCTCATTGCTTTATATT